GTAAAATTACTCGACCCTAGAAATCAAGCTGTAATGGGCAAGCAGAAAAACTCGGGACCAGGTTCTCCACCACCCAGCAGTAGGAACTGCCCAGTGCAACAACATACGGTTGTGTTTTGCAATTTCTCTGTGCTCTGTTTTCATTTATAGATACGACTGCTTAGATGCAGGGGAGTGGAGAACACCAGGCACGTAAAACTGAGGCTGCAGTGGGCAGATTTGCATGCAGTGTCACAAGGCTCCAGCTGCAGAGAGCACATTTCACACAAAGATGAAAACCTTTCTAGAGACAGGGCACTGTCCGAATTGTATTTAATTCAGAAGTGAAGCTTCCCCTGAAGGACAATAACAAACTGATTAAAAATAATTAAAAAGAAGCCCTATTAGGGAAGGTTGAAAGAACTGAATCTGTTCAGATTAGAAAAAGATTAAGGGAAGACGAAAAATGCCTAAAAATACTTAAACAGGATGTTATAAACTGCTCAGGAATTAATTTTCCTCCTTAGTCAACAAGACAATACGAAATAAGGGACTGCAGCAGAGACTGATCACAAAATTCTAAATGACTTAATTTGTAACATTTGGATTTGCATCTGCTGCAGGAAGTTTCAAAGACTGAGGGGTCTTCAGAAACGGGCCTTGGTGCCTGCACCAAGCAAGCTGCTAATGCTGGCTGATCATACGTTAAGGAGAGTTTTGAGAGTAATAACCTCAATCCTTCTACAATGCATATGAAAAATTATAATGTGGCATAAGAGGTGCCTGTCTACTCAAATGATTCTGTGAACTGACTGCACATGAGACAGAGCTGCCTGGCATTTATACTGGGACATAAGTAAACCTGGTAAGACTGAGGCAGTATAGGAAATGTGTTTCTACAAACACTTAACACTCCCTTCAACAAAGATCAATTCTTCAGTGAAGAGTCAACAAGGTTGTTTAGCACGGATTTTCATCCTGTCCAATATAGTTATTTCACATTAAAAATTTGGCTCCTTTTAAGTAATTATCCTGACTTACATGATAGCAGTGTCAAACTGTTTTCCCTAGCATTTTTCTTTCACATTTCAAAAGAAAACAATCCACTCACAAGTCTTATCTGCTAAGTGAGAGAGGAGATTGGAAGTGTATTGATTCTTAGTGATGTCAAGTCCTTCTAGGGAATAAAAGTTTATTGCTTTCCTGTCTCTGATTATCTTTTTGTGAAGATGTAGATCACGAGCTGGGAAATACTACTACTCCATGGGAGAGGAGACATGCTTCACTATACAGGAGAAAAGCCTACACAGGGAAGCATGAACAAAGAAGCAGGAAACTGAAGATAAAAATTTGAAGAGTTATTAAGTGGATTAGGAGTCCAGGGCTTGTGGAAGGTCATACAGCTTTCTAACTTTCAAACATGCAGGTTTAACCTTGCAAAGTGTGGCAAATGACAGACATAGGTTTCATGAAATGACCACTGTATTTTTCAGGGTAACATGCTAAAATGTTCTAAGCTCCCTCCATTCCCACTGAGAGGAATGCAGAGATCTAGGTATCCTTCAGAAATTACTTTTTGGGAAATAAGAAGTTATAATTGAAAAGCACTTATAGAAAAGTTCAAAGCAAGGGTATTGCTCCATCGTTTAAACACTTCCAGCCAAGTAATTCAGCCCAGAGCTTTATCTGTTGTTCTGCTGAATTTTAGGTCAGGCACATATTTTCAGATTTAAGAAGGGAGCAAAGAAAACTCCCTACATCCACATATATGCCCCTGGAAGACTATCTCAACAGATACCAAAGTCTTGATTAGGCATCTGTGAGTCCTCGTGTTGTATTCTAACTGTGTGTGGAAAATCTCCACAGCATGATCAAGATTTTGCAAAATAAAAAGTGAGATCCTGACCTTTCGAAATTAATGAGAATTTTGCCATTGAACCCAGCAGGACCCCAGATTCAAACCTAGTTATCTACCCTGAACTGCAGAGGAGCTAAGAACTTGACAGTCTGCTTGAACTTTGAATGCTCAGCACTTTTAAATATTAATTCATTAGCTTACATCCTTAAGTTTAATGAATGACCTCTGAAAATCATCACCTAAATTTTTTGTTCGCAAAACTGATCTGCAGACAAAATTTTCTTATACTGTTCTTTAATCTGTACTTTCAGTGTCAAATGGACAACAAACTCTACCTCAGGATGTAGTTGGAGAGAAAGGACCTTTAAGTCTGGATTTCTAACTTAATTAACTGTCCAGATTTATTGTCTTATAAAGCAAATTTTAATTTCCATGACCTCACTGTGGATCCAAATCTTTCAGAGTTATCTACTTGAGAAGAGCCTCCTATCTCTGCACTCCTGTGGAGATGCATCCCCCAATGGGTTGTCTATGTCAAGTCCACTCTGGCCAAAAAGGTAAAGGAGGGGGAGGAGAGTTGTGTACAAGCCAGACTGCACTGAGGAAACAGTGGCTCACACTGACTTTAAGACAGATACTTGTATCCTACCTCACTTACTAAAATTCTTCTGCCACTTTCAGAAAGTGAAATGTTTCATCTTCTCTATTCTTTGCTATCCAGAAGTCACAGACTACAAAGGTTTCAAATCCCAATAGATGTGGTTTGAAATTACATGAAATTACAGTGTGAGTGTTTAGAGACTGTTTCTACCTATAAATATTAAAAGGACAGTCCTTCTCGTAGGTGTGCCCTGTAGTAAGTGCCCAATCAACACCTGCCCCCAGAGTAGCACAGACCCCTCTGCAGCAGGAAATACACATCCCATCTCAGATACCTTCTTTACCAGATGGCAAGCACTGATCAGACTTGACTTCTATCTGCTTCTTCAACACAGCACAAAGAGACAAAAGTCCCATGGGACAATAGTACTCTCAGGATTGCTTACAGCCCCATAACTGAGTATGTCTGCCAGCTCAGGTGTTTACTCAAACTTTGTATTTCAAGTCTTTAAGCGTTAGGTAATGTTTCTCTTCTTTGCAACCTAAATTTCCTCCTCTTCCATTACTGAAATTTTTTTCTGCAGTGCTAATTCTTATCTTTTGTAGTCTTTTCCAGGAATAACTGGGAACTGATGATAGCAACTATTTCTTTTGTTTCCAAAGCAAGCATTCTACCAAAGCCGTAATCTAAGAGGCTAACTATATGGATGCCCCTAAAAATAATGAACATCAATCTGTATTAATTGCAGGTCTAATTTCATCATACTGTCCCTAAATAAAAAAAGAACAGCTCAGGAAATCAGTTAAAAAAGCTGTCTGAATACCAAATAAAAGGCAACATCTAAAACCCAGGTTGGTGCAGGGACACCCTAAAAATCAGACTGTCAGCACAGTCACATTAGAAAATCATTTGGCAGTGAGTTTATGCTTTTGGCACCTGTTAATAGATAACTGATAACTGAGTTCTGCATGATTTATATCCAGCCATGAAAATGACAAATGGGCTCAAAAGGGTGGGAATTGGAATGGTCTTTCATAGCTCGTGTCTTTGGAGAAACTGCTGATAGCTCGTGGACAGGTTTCACAATTCTAAACGGTATACACAGCCAAAACTATTTTTATGTTTATTTCTGATACCTTTGACTCTCTTCTATTTCCCCTGTACTACCTATAAATTCTCTCACTCACACACAGGCTGGAGAAATGTGAGCTAGGTGTGATAAGAAGACGGGTATATTATATATAGCCATAGCTGAGCTGTGGAGCAGTTTCACTCTCTTCCTTTTCTGACTTCTGTTCTTCTTCATCATTTTATTAATCTATACCCTCTTTTCAAGTAAAGGCAATATTTGTGCTCTGAGACCCAGACTCCCCTCGTGGTTTGATCTCTGCCCTTTATCTCAGGCATTAGAAGGAAGCTAGAGTCACAATTCTAATCTAAACTTATGAGGACAAAGAGACAACTTCTAGCTGTTCCACACAGAGACCATCTATTGCAGATAAGCTAAATCTTCAAAGGGAAATCTCGTAAACTCTAAATCACTGCTGGGTAGAAGACAGCTTCAGACTCATATTTAAGAGAGAAGCTGATGTTGATTAACAGTGCAAGCTGCCTCAGTCCAGATTATCCTTCTGTGTGCTTTGGGTCTTGAGCTTAGTTGCATCATGCATTGTAGCACATCCTACCATCTTGGAGAACCACATCTCATGATGTGCCAGTCTTCCAAGTTAGTGAGAGCCTGGGTTAGCCTTTTACAGATGGGGCTGTGTGAGAATTACATTCCTGGACCACAACTTGCTGCTGCAAAAGCTGATGGCAAGATCTGAATCCAGAAACACGTTTGTATATGGTTTACAACTGAAGGCTAAATATGATTTTAACTCCTGTAGTATAATTGTATTGTAATGAATTTCCCAATATATTAGGAATTAAAAGGTACAAACTAAAGCTACTGAGATGCCCAGAATTAAGGTACAGGACAAGATGAGACTCCATTTAGGCTAAAGATAGTATCATATTTTGGCTAAACATGTAACCATGATTGATACCAGTATCAGAGTTACCAGCATTAGAATAAATTCTTCTATGCTAAAAGTCATAATCATAAGTAGTGCTGGAATTTGTGAGGCCTTTCTTATAAAACCTACAAGCTGATCAGTGTAGTGCCTTTGTAACACAAATGCCACAGGCAGAGCACACGATTATCTGTCACCAATACTTCTACATCAGTAATCTGGAGATGTATGAGATATTTCACTCCTGCAGAGAGGGTCTTTACATGACTTCCTGCTCAACAAGGGTACATTGCAAATCTTCAAATCAATAAGCCACTCGCCTCTTTCAAAATTAAAATATCAATGGAAAGTCAACATTTATGTTTGATTTAACTGCACCAGATAAACCCTCCCATTTTACCTAATAATATGCTGAGTTAATTAAAGCTCCATGCTAGCAACCATGCCTTCACCGTACAGAGCAAGCAAGAAAGCCAAAGCCCCCAAGTTTCCACATAGCCGTAAGCACATGAGCAGGACTTTCAGCTTATCATTTTCGGATACGTACCCAGTAGAGCACATCTGTCCAGCCCTCCATCGTGATGCACTGAAACACTGTCAGCATGGCAAAAGCAAAATTGTCAAAGTTCGTGATGCCATGTTTAGGTCCCTCCCAGCCTGCCTTGCACTCCGTGCCGTTCTGGCACTGCCGCCCGTGCGCAGACTGGGGGGCACAGGGAGACGGGTCGTCTTCTGCAGGTGTATCTTGAAGGAGAGAAGGGGGGGGGGAAAAGGAGATGAAGAGAATGAATTGCCACTGGACCCACCGTGAGGGATATCTGATTTTAACAAATACATTTTGCAGCGAGTTTGACAGATTTCTCAGGAATACACGAGCGACTGCTGGCTGTTGTGCTTCACTTTCTTTTTGTAAAAATAAAAAACAAATAAAGTAGCAAAGCTGTCAAATTTTATAGTCAAAACAGAGATGGACTTTTTTATCAAAGCATACCCTCCTGTGAGGAGGAAGTCACGCTTTTCAACATGAGAGGGAACGTAAGACCAAGTCTATTATGTTTCCTTAGGCTGCACGTTGTGACCATAATGGCAGCGTGTTCATTCCGCAGTCACCCGGCATCTGGGTTAACCTTGGAAGGGAAGTGCAGCACTGATGGCCATTCTGCTGAAGGAGGCTGAGCCCCTGCAGCACACAGGCTTCAGTGCTCTGGAGACAAGATGATATGGCACTGGGCCACTGCTGAATTAGAGCAGAGAGCATCTGGAGCTCTGCTCTTCTGGAGTTTAGAAGCTGTGTGGCATTTTATCAGTAGCCCAGTGGCACTCAGAAACTCTGTAAGGCAGTTGCTTGATTATCGACCCCTTATTCTGTACAGATGTTTTCAGAGATCTGAGAACCCATACAACAAGCCAAACTAAATGCTTTGGTATACAAAAAATGCCACAGAAAACATTTTTATAATCACAAAAACTTCTGCAATATTCTTTTAAAAATATATGGATTTCAGATCTTAAGGCTACATTTTTAACAGATGAAGGTATGTATGTGTAGGGGAGCAGGTAATTATGTTTGTTTCACGTCTTATATGGTAAACAATTTAATTTTCTGAAAATTATGATCATATTCTGATCATTAAAGAATGCCACAAACAGTAATATTAGAATTAGATGCCATAATGTAAATATTTCCAGACAGAATGGAGAAAGATATGCACACTTTAAAATGTAAACCAGAGCGACAATTCATTATACTTCTAGCATCATTTCCAGAAAATGAAATCTGCCAACATTATAAAAGCAGAAAATACAGAACTTCTGAAACAATTTCCTGCTGTAAAATATAAAATATTTTCTTAGTTATGAGCTGCTCTGGGTCCTAGGCATTAGCACCCACCACCACATGAGAAATCGATGCTGTTCAAGTTCAACAAATCAAATGAAAAAGAGCAGATGGTTAGATGAGTGAGTGACAATGCAATTGAACTACTTTGAAATGGGACTATTTCTTTCTGTAAATAATTTGAAAGTTCTTTCCTGATGGATTTGATGCAAAAATTTTCTTCTCATTAATATAATTTTGTTTTCTTTCTAGCTCCATTTCTAACCACAGCCTTTTTTTAAAAAAAGGTACAGCCCTGAATTATATATTCCTTTACAATGATACTGGTTTAAAACAAAGATGTATTTGTGTATGAGATTTATAATAAAATATATGAGTTTTAAATTTCTGTGATGTCATGTCATCTGTAGCTCAGTCTGCTAATGACGAAATTATCACTATTTTAGTGTTGCTTGAGCCTCTGGCAGATTTGTTAAAGAACTCAGGTTGGCTTGTTGTGCCAAAGGTCCACATTAAAAAGTCCATGACTCTGTTTAGCAGGAATCAATAGCTTTGCATGTAGCCTTTACAGACAGGCCAACAGCTGAGTGTTCAAGATGAGGAAGCTAAACTGTCACCATTGCAGTCTCTCTGCATCACAGGGGATTCATATCCAAGAAGCAGAACAGAGGAGCCACCCCTGTGTAACCCCAAACAGGCAGTGAGCAATAGCCACCCATCTCCTGTGACAGCACAAATGCTCCATTACTTATGGGAAAAGCCTCCCTCCAAAAATCTTTGTATGTGTGTACGTGTTCCCCTTACCTATCAGTCCCCCTTGCACATGGTAGCAGGTCTTATGCATCTTCCCCATGAATAACTCCAGTCCAATGATGGCATAGATAATAATGACAAACAGCACCAGCAGGGCAATATGCAACAAAGGGACCATGGCCTTGATAATGGAATTTAAAACCACCTGGAGACCTGCAGAGAGAACAGAAGGAAGCACTTATCAGCAAGAGAACAAAATTTAGAGAGGCTATAAATTGCACAGTAGTATGTCAGTTTTATTGAACTCATTATCTTGATGATGTAAAGATGTACATTCACAGATCAACTCCCTCCAGAAGTTCCCCAGCATTTCATAAATTTACGATTTTGGTCTAGATAACAGACTAAAGTAAAGCTTACTTTAGATAAGATACTAACTTACCTGTCACCAAAATACCACCTCCCTGGTGAGGGAATATATTAGCTGTTTTGCCTATTCATGAAAAACATGCCTAAGGTGTTCCACACGCAGTACTGGGGAGAGTTACAGTATGGAGAAAACAAAGAACAACCAGAACTGAAGTGGGACAGGAACTGTGAGACACACAGCAAATGCTGGGGTGCCACAGAGTTGCACTCCGGAGTGTGGGGAGAGATGACAAACTGAAGTCACATCCCTACTTTGATTCTGGGTTCCTGCAGAAGTCAAGAAAGTCCCAGGCAGAGCCTGAGATGCTGAAGGACCACCAAACCCACACTTAGTGAGAGCTCCCAGCCTTCTGAGGATCGCCCTCTTCTCCACATCCCCCTCACCTTACTTCAGTCTCAACAGAGGGAGAGTCAGAATCAGCAGTGTTGGTTTTGCTCCAAGGATTAGGGATCACTTTTTAACAGAGGTTGTCCAGAAAGGGGTATGAATAAAATATTATTACATGACTGTTGGTAAGGCATGAAACTGTTAGAAGTCCTAATCATGAGGAAGTCAAACATTTCCAGAATGGGAAGGTGACTTGCTGCCAAGTTTTCTAAAGCACTAAGCAGCTGTACCCTCAGATACACTGGACTCAAGCTGCAGATTCATGTGCCTCTCTCTGTCTCCTTCTCCTCATTTTGTAAAACCAGAATAATAAAGCCAGCCTCATAAGCCTTTAGTAAGGATTTGCATTTACAAATGTCTTAAAGTTGTTATCACTGGTAGCAATGATGGCAACCACTGTCACTGGCAAGTTATTAATGCTGGAAGTATTGAGAGACCTCTAGAACCCTATAGTCTACAAATAGCCACACCAGAACAATTACGAGCTCATGATTTTGCAATGACTGAGAGCCAGAAGTCATTAATGTCTCCTGCAAATGCTGTCATCTCCTCAGAGAAGTTGCTATTAGCTGTGATTTTTGAAAAATGTGATTCATGAGCTGTAAATGCCTGTTATACATCTGCCAAGAGAGTTTGCGATAACTATTAACTTTCATCATTAACTATCATCTGAGATTTTCAATTTTTTTTTTTTACTTTAAAAAAAAAAAGCCAACTAATTTAAATACTTTCTTATAAGGATGACACATCTCTTGACAAGCACTTTCACTTGTAGGCAATCCACTTGTCAATTCACAGCTAAGGCTGTGTTTGCTCCTCAGCCTTGATGGAACACAGCAGAAACCATCAAAGGTGGCATCAGCTGCCCGGCCAGCAAGATCAACTCACTGCCTGCTGGCAACCCAGAGCTGGGTACTAACATCCCTCTAGTCAGAACATGTTTTCAGGTTTCTACAGTCAGTTCAGATATATGTTAATGGTTCATGCTGCTATCCAAAGGGAGAGATGCTCAGCATGAAACATTCTGGCTTTCACAAACTGATTCTTACATGAAGTACATTACTGACGGGATCAAAACATCCCGTACAAGAATGGGCCTCTTTGCTTGCTCAGTTGCCTCTGGGTACTCCTCTGGGTAAGTAATGCCTCTGGAGGAAAAAGAAATTGCTGTACTTACATGAGGCAGTCAAGCTTTTCCTCTAGATGTTCACATCGTTCAGTCTACTAATTCTAAATACGTACAGAAAACATCACTCCAATTCTTTATATCAGTCAGGAATGTCACATTCACTAGAAAATCAAAACACTGTCCCATCTACTTCCAAAAAATGTCAACAACACAAGAAAGTTAAAAGACTACAGATGGCTACAAACCTGAAGAAAAAAACCCAAAACTTTGCAGGTTGAAATATTTGTAGCTTCAAACAAATCTACATAAAAGCAAATAAAGGCCTCCTTTTTTTAGTGATTTTAGGGGAGCCTTGTTAATCCAATATGTAGCCAAGATTACGAGGTTAAGATTTCTAATACCAGCTCTTATGTAATTTACCCTTAATTATTATTATTAATTGATTTATTATGCATCATAGGACATACCCGGTACTCTTGAGAGGGTACTGAGAACTGACGAAAAGATGAACAAAAAAGCTCTCTCATTTTAAATACAGCTTCATTATCACTCACTTCATAAAAGTGCTTCAGCTACTACAGATGTCCAGAGAAGATAATATCTGCACAAATCAATGCCCTTTGTGTTAACAAAGCAGTACTTGTGAAATCAAAGGCTTGCACCATAAACATGAGATGACAAGGTGTTTAGGCAGCCAAGGGGAACAGGTACCACCAGAAGATGTACAGGACCTCCAGCCAGCTTAATTAGAGAAAATCTTCTTGAGGATAATAAACCAGCTTTGAAGAGGAGATGAGGTTCTGAATACTGTTAGCATGAACTGATGTGTGTGCTGTGCAGTGCTCCATTAGGGCAGCCTGTTTTCAAATCTTGATGATTCCAGTAATTAGCAAGCTTAAATACATTACCATTAAAGTATTCAGAGAGAAAAGTTAAAAAAATACTAACTATGCAGCAACTTGGGAAGTGTCCTCAGAAGATGTAATGTATGCTACTTGTGGAAGGGCAAGAGATACATGCACATCACCAGACTCCCTGCATTGTTGTCAAGCTTATTGCTGCAATACAGCTACTGCCTGTAAATTACTTTATTCTCACTTAGGCAGCCACTTGCAACACGAGTACCTGTTGCAAGGAATGGTATGAGGAATCCTGCCTAGAGAAGTCAGAATGCCCAGTCAGAAAAGGATTAAAGGAAGAGCCATGGGCAGGTGGAACAGAGAAACTTTTTCAATAAAAAAAAACTTCACATGCCTTAAACCATATCAAATCTATGTTCTGAAACCTGAGAGGTGCAGATCAGTGTCTGGGGATGATCACAGGCATTTCTGATCAGAGTAAATGGAGGCAAATCATCCCTTTACAAGCAGTCACAAAAACTTTTTCTAACAAAAGGTGAGAATTCTACACACTTTTACAGGCTCTTTCCCTGTGTAGAGAAAGAAAAGACAGTTCAGCTTCTAAAAGAATGACTTCTCTGACCCAACTCATACATGCTCTTAATCTTTGCAACGGTGCAACACGTAGGTATCACCCAACACGGGTGTTCACACCATTGCACATCTTTGGCATTTTTTTCTCACTTGTGGAGGAAAGGCTTGCACTCCTAGCAATGGGCTGTGCAGCTTATAATCGTAATTAAATCAGAGTGGTGACCCGATCAGACTGCAAAGCTGGCCTCTGGATTTCAAGGAGGTGATACCATTAACTGCCTTGTCACAGCAGAGCCAAATTTTTACAGTGTTGCTTTACCGGGGCTGGCAATGCCGTCCTTGGCCAACCGTCAACATGAGGTCTTGACCTTAAGTCCTGACAAGCAAATATAAAAATAAATGGGTTTCAAATATTTGGCATTCTAAACGTAGTTACTCATTTGTGGAAGCTCTCTCCGTGTGCTAGACACTCTCCAGACATCTGTGAAGGTACAGCATCTGCCTTGAGGAGCTCACTCCAGGCTGGACACAGACATAACTGCACAGGGATTAGGGAAAGTGCTACGAAAGGGATTGTTTGCAGTTTTTAAGACCAGGCTTTTCTTCTGTTAATAATTGAAGATCTTAAACAACTCGTAGTATTTATTTTAAAAGCACTTCAGTTTACCTTTAAAAAAAAAACCCTCTTGGCTGAATTCTGTTGGCTGACACTGATTCCATAAATGTTTCAGCAAGCAAAACATGCTAGTGCCATTCCCCGGGCTTACAGAATTTAGCATTTATTTACACTGATAAAACATTTTAAATATTTATTACATGGGAAAAACATTGCTTTTTATACCAGGTCAAGCCCTTTTTTGCCTCTAGAGGACTGCATCAACCCAAAGGTTTAGGATACAACTGGGGAGCAGGGAGACTAAGGAAAAAAAAGAAGAAAAAACCTTGTACCAAGTAACACTGATCTCTCTCAAAGCTATGGGAAATACACTGTTGGGGGTGCTGCAGGTGTTTTAGAACTATTATATGGTGCTATACTTTTCTCTCAGGAAGACAGTGATGAGAGGGGCTGGTTGCTGCCTCATCGATTCCGGCAGTTATTGAAGAATGTGCTTTATCTCTAAGCATGTAAGTGTCTGCACCTAAAGCAATGGGATTACCTACACACCCCGTTGTGTACTTACAAGCTTTTTTGGATTTCAACCAATGCTCTGCAAGATGGCACCAAAAAAAAAAAAAAAGTGCACCAGACTCAGCTGCTAAAATGCACTTGGCGTTGTTGCATTGTGGAACATATCCAAGGAAACTAATGGTAGGTTGGTCTCAGAACTCACATTTGGGCCTTTCCAAGCACAGCTCTAACTCACATTTTTATGTGTCTTTAATTTTGGATCTGATCTGGTATGCTGGACAGGGCAGTTTCCTGTTCTCATCATTTTAGTGGTCCAGGTCTCTAGAGAAAGTGTATCCCAAGTCTATTCTTCCATTGGTTTTGCAGGGCTATATTTTGACTACCCCGTGGGGATGCCTGAATCATAAGTATGAGCAGGGACAGTCTCATATAAATGACTACTTGAAAATGAGCAGGAAGAAAAGGGAAAGAAGAGGACTTTCAACCCCATCCATCCCTCCTCTGCCTCCTGATACACACACAAATACACATTTTCATACTTAAGCCAGTGCCAGGGGTGTGGGAGGTAATTATTTTTCTGCTAATATAGTTCAGAAGAAAACTACCACTTTCTGCAAGCAGGGAGGAAGCAGGGGAGGATTTGTGACTCAGCACAGTGCCTGACTCAGATCACTTCTGGGAACCACTCTTCAGTGACAGAGTTTA